GAATATAAATTATTAGTCAGTGGCTTAGGGTGGCAACACATTCATTATTTTTATAACAAAAGAAGTACCCATCGTTCATAAAAATTGTTACGCGATATACGTACAAGTTCCGAATCGTTTTTTAATTAGGTTTTTATTGTAAAACAAGGAGCGTTAATTAAGCCACGTTTCCTGTTCGTGCTTTTTGTGTTTACGCTAGCAATTTAAAAAGAGAAATTCTATGGTACCCATCTTATTTGAGAGGGTACCGGTATGCAATCTCGGACGAATCGTGAAGGATGATTAATTTCCCTAAAAAATAATTTATATATTTTTAATTTTTAATTAATATTTACTTTAGAAAACAGTGTTAAGTCAAAGCACGTCTCCTTTTCATGAGTTTCGTGTCCATGCTATTGGTAAAACTAGATGGCGTCTGCATGGAGAAAAGTTGAATATATATATATATATTAAGTAATTAGTTCTCATTTGAATTGTTGCGTGGCAGTATTATGAAGTTCCCTGGCTACATATGACTATGCATTCAGGAGTTACAGATGAACAGTGTTCTTTTAGTGAGCACCCTTCAAATTATTGAAGAGCCATTTTTGCCTAGCTTGGCGTTGGCACGCTGGACTTTTCCTCAATTCACAAAAGTTATCAACTAAAAACATATTTAGTCGGTTTTCTTATGGTTTGGAGATTTTAGCTGAGTTAGGGGATCATGGAGACGAATTGAAATGAAATGGAACGAACAAAATAATTTGTTGGGAAAAAAAATGAGAAATTTTTTGTATCTTATTTAATGAACCATTCCTGATTTAATGATAAGATTTATTAAAAATTATAATTTTCATCCAATAATAAAGAAAGTATATATTAACAAGAGACTCTTTGACCACTTTGTTAACTTTTCTCAAAACAATTTATAATTTTTTTATTTTGATATGATAATAGTATTTTATCGAAGAATATACCCCTATGTAAAATTTATTAGTGAATAATTCACGTATGTTTAAAAAGAGTAAACTTAGGTCCCTAACATTTTTGTCTCTTACGTACTTTCTATTGTTTTTTATTTATTTATTATTATTATAAATTTTCTCAATATTTTGAATCTTGAAAGGTGGAGGAAAGAAAGGTGTTTTGAGAATATATAAAAATAAAATAAAATAGTGGAGCTGTATAGCAAAAAAAGTATGGGTGAATAGTAGGGGTACCAATATATATAATTTTTTTTGCCTTATTGTGCCCAACCCATTCAGCTTGCAGGCTAATAGACTGGCCCATGAGCCCAATAATAAAAAAATTATTATTTGTGACAAAAATAAAAATTTTAAAAATATTAAAAATTGTATATATATTACAAAAATGTTAAAAAATGCCTATCATTATATTAACGATAATATAAAAATATGGATATATTAACGAGAAATATAAGCTATATTAAAGAATATATATTTATTAACAATAAATAAATAAAATTGATATATATATATATATATATATATTATTAGTGTTAATAATATATATAATGTGTGGGATGGTGGAGGTTCGTGGTGTTTAGACAGGCTTTATTCCTCCCTACATGTAAACCATTGAGCATTAATTGTTTTTTCACATCTCCCTACAACAATGGTTGGAGTCTACAGGTCGTCGACTTGGCCGGAGGTTTTTCATTCTCGTGAGGACAGTGACTTGGTTACGACCTTCCTTTGGCACAGTTACGTTAAATGTTGATGGTGCATGGTTCGAGCAGGCTTTGGTGGTTTATGTATTGTAGGGACTATGAAGGGACATTTCTGTTTGGTTTCTTTGGCTACGTACCATGGTTGGATCGAGAAAGCTTTTCCAAGGCTTTCATGCTATTCGGATTCCCGCACTCTCTGGTCCAGCTAGTGCTAAATGTTCGTTATTATATATTAATATACTTTTATTGAAAGATAATTACAAATATATGATGTAAGTATAAATTATACTCACTAAAATATGTAAATTAGATGTTCAACAATTATACCATTTATTTTTAGTTTACTTTTTAAATTTATTTATATTTATATTTGATAAATTATTAATTTATTTATAATATATTAATAATTTATAATAATATATAAAGACCATATAATTTTTCACATACAGACTTTTTTAATGACATTTTTATCCTCCTAACTATTGTCAAATTACTTATTTTATTTATTTATAAACTATCTTCTATTTTATAACTTCTTCTATTATTTTTATTTTTCTTTCGGAGGAAGTGGAAGTAACAATGAACAGTTGTTAATTAAAGTAATATTGGTTCATACAACTTGTTTATATATATATTTTTTAAAAATACATGAAGCCATGTAGTGTTTATTTTATGCTAGTATATAATTTTTATCTAACTAAGATGACTTTGTATTTGGTTTTATGATATTTTTTATTTTATTTTTAGTTGTTTATTTTTCATAACGAGGGGCATTGTCAAAGTTGAATGTACTAATAGTTTGATTCTATATTATGTTTAGGTTGTGATTAACATGACAACGAGTCATTTTTCTTCAAAGGAGGAGGAAGGAAGTTCAACGAGCAGTCGCAAAGTGGCATTATTAAAGATCATTTATTGTGCATGTAAAATAAAGACGAGACTATATACACAAAGGACTAAAGAATTTTTGAGGTAAAATTACTAAAGTATCCTAATTATAGCGTAATGTTTTGGTTGATTTCAGGTTTTATTGTAAGTGTTTTTAATTTTTTGGTTATTCTTTTGGGTTCTTAATGTAGGAAGTATAGAGTTGTGAATATTTCAAATAGGTGGATGAGACAACATTTGCATATATCTCTTGCACATCATGTGAACAATTACGATGAAAAATATTAACTACCATTGTTCAGATGACATGTAAGAAGTATGTTTAGAAAAAGAGATATATTTTCATCAACAAACCACATCCAAACAAAAGCCATAATTGTTCAAATGACATGTAAGAAGTATGTTTAAATATTGCCTCAACCACCTATTGAAAATATCCACAACTCCATACCTTATACTTTAAGCGTCTAAATGAAAAACTATAACCAAAAATTGAAAAACACCTAAAAAAAAATATGAAATTAACTAGAATTCAAAACTACATTACCTTCTAATTATGACATCCAAAATTTTTAAATCTTTGATGTACATAGTCTTACTTCACTCTCCATGAACAATAAGTGACCTTTAAAAAAAGTCTCGTATTATTGATCATTAAACTTTTTTCATTATCTCTTATAGAAAAGACTTATGCTTATGTTAGTCACAACTTAATTTTTTTATAAACTCAAGTTATCAACACCTTCAAATTTGAAAATGTCCTTTGTTGCAAAAAAGGATAACTAAAACTCAACAATTCAGGATCTTAAATTTGAAATCAAGCACAAATTTATCATACTTCAACAATGAAACCTAATATAAAACAGCGATCTCTTAATACATCTTCACAATACAAAAAATAAATGACGAGAACTAAAAGAAAAAAAGCTATAAAAAAAAGTAAATAAAACTATAAAAATAAAATATTATCAGAAGAAGTTATATCAACCCTTAATAGGGGAGAAGCCAGACGATATGAAACAGGAAGAGTGGAACTTGCTAGATCGACAGGCTCTTGGCATGATCAGACTGACATTGGCCAAGAATGTCGCGTTTAACATCGTCAACGAGAAGACAACTGCAAGTCTGATGAAGACACTATCAGACATGTATGAGAAACCATCTGCAGCCAACAAAGTACACATAATGCGTCGGTTGTTCAACCTTAAGATGGGAGAAGGTAACCTTGTGATTAATCATATTAATGATTTTAACACTATTCTTGCTATGTTAGAGTCAGTACAAATCAAATTTGAAGATGAGGTGAAGGCATTGATACTATTGTCATCATTACCGGAAAGTTGGGCTGCAACTGTTACTGCAGTCAGCAGTTCTGCAAGGGATAACAAGTTGAAGCTCAACGACATTCGCGACCTGATCTTGAGCGAAGATGTTCGCAGGAGAGATTCCGAGGAACCTTCCAGTTCTACTTCCAGTTCAGCATTAAATACTGAAAGTAGAGGAAGAACCACTCAAAAGGGTTACAACAATCGAGGAAGATCAAAGTCAAGAGCTAAAGGTCAGCCAAAATTCCGGAATGATATTGTTTGTTGGAATTGTGACAAGAGAGGTCACTTTACCAATCAATGCAAAGCTCCGAAGAAAAACAAGAATCGCAAGAAGCGTGATGATGATGAATCCGCAAATGCAGCAACTGACGAGATAGTAAATAGGTCATAAGCACCATGATATTCGAATAAAAAGATGAGTTTAAGAGATAAAATTGAAGAAATGTATTCAAAGGAAAGACATGCAATATTTAAATACAGTATCATAACAAACAAAGCTAATTAAACTCAAATTTGTTATAGAGAAAACCACTTCCAACAAATGCAGATTAGTCTATAATTGTTAGTTTCAAAAATAATAACACATTAATTTTTTATTGATAATTTTAAAAAACAGTGTGAATTATGTTAATAAAAAAAGTTATTACAAAGGAGGTTTATAGCTATTTCCCTTGACGATTTCTTAATTACACTCGATGCTAAAAAAAATATTTCAAGAAATCTTAATAATTTTCTGAACCAGCAACAACAAAACACCATTAAAATTACATGACTCTCGCACTCTGAAAGATATATAAGATTGAAGGTAGCAAAGCAAACCAATTCCCACTGTATATGGTCTCTATATAGATATGCTTCTTGTAATAATGGGAAGGGGGCAGGGCTTTTCCGAGTTCCTAATCTTCCTGAAGCAAAGCATTGTCTAAGCAAAAATTTGGAGAATAGAAAGATAGGGTTGGTTCAAAATTACTCTCACTTTTCAGTACAACCTTATAATGATATTGGGATTAGCAAAAAAAAATGCTGTATTTGCATTCCAATCACATAAAGTATCAGCAATAAACAAATTTGAGAAGAGCAAGAATTCCATGCTTTCTTTTCGGCAAATGCAGCCAACTGATGGGTGAAGAACTTTCTGCTTTGGATATTGATCAGCTGAAGCATCTGGAAGATCAATTGGAAACGGGTTTGAAGAATGTTCGCACAAGAAAGGTATCATATGGTTCAAAGTCAAAGCAAATCGAAGCTCCTACTTAAAGTACATGTTTGGTTTCAATTGATTTATTTGTTGTAAAAAGAATCTTCTTTTTTCAAAAGATCTTTCAATGAAATTTTGATTATAAGTAGTTTTGGACATAGGTAAATCCTAATATACAATACATGTGTCATCCATGCATGCATGACTCTTACACAATCATTTACTTCACCTGCAGGATCAAATGTTTATAGATGAGATCAAAGAATTACAACAAAAGGTTCTAGGCCTCAGATTCTGTTCCTTTAATAGGTATTTCCAAGAATTTCTGACCGATCTCCATTGACGCCATTAATTGCAGGGAAGCCTCGTTCAGCAACAAAAGGAAGAACTTCTTAAAAAGATAGACCTTATCCACAAAGAAAATGCAGAACTAAAAAAGGTAAATCATCAAGAAAACGTATTCTATAATTTAATAATATGTGTTACACATTAGAATTGGAATGTAGCTTTTTTTTTCCTTTATATTTTCTGAAGCATAAAACAATAGCTTCATAAATTAATGTGTCATTTGTACTAGTAGCTTCATAATTTGTAAATAAGGACATAGTGAATTTTTTCTCTTAAAATCATCTTTTTCCCTCTCTAATTACAACAATTTTTCTCTCCATCTCCTCTCATTGTTATAACTTATAAATTCGTTCCTTACACTTCCAACCAAAAATTATTCATGCAAAATATAATGAAATACCTAAAGACAAAATTTTATTTTAGCTAAACCTAAGTTAAAGAGTGTTGAAACATATATAGGTTGTTGAAGCAAGGCGTGCAGAAGAAAAAGAATCACTGAATCCTTCACATGCTATCAGCAATGGATATGATAAACTTTACCCTAACAGTCTGCAACAAAGCCAGTCTCAGCCTCAACACAGGGCACCATCGGATGAAGCGATCATTCTGGGGTATTCCCTCAAATTGAAGATATAAAAAATAGTTTAACGTGCATCTGATGTAATATATTTTGGAGAAATCGCTTTTTTTTTGAAAAATTAAAAAATCTTTTAAAAAAAGAAGGGATTATTCTCGAAATTTAAACTTTACTATAAACATGCTGTAAGTCTATAGATTTTTATCCTTATTTTTGTTATAAAGTAAGAAGCTAAAGTGTGCACTAGTCTAGATTACAGCTACATTGGTGAAAACTGGTTCGATATCGATCGATCGATATTATTTATAAATCTGTAATGTACATCATGATTCATGAATCATGAAACGGACAATAAGTCAATAAGTTTATGCTGTACATCAATGTATGAACAATATAGATATTATTGTGGCTGGTTTATATTATTTCAATCTTGTATAAATTCAATTTGAGTCATACTCCAAATTTGATGAGCTTTCACATATAATCTAAATTATTTAAATCTATACATAAAAGGAATATGAAAACATGCAATTATTTTTTATCTTCACTTTTAATAGATCATTACATCCCTAAAAGAAAAAATCTTATATTTCATGAATAACCACTAATAATATTCTTAATTATTTTTTAATTTTTTAATTTTTAAAAATATTAAGAGGCATGAAGTATCTCATTACTAGTTAATATATAAAGGAAATCCTAATTTGTTGTAACTTGGTCTCTATAATTTTTTTTAGAGCTATTGTATCCTATAACTATCTTAAAACATTCACTTTATGATTATAAATCACTTATTATTATATATCTTTAATTATCTATATTTTTATTTACATTTTTTAAAATACATGTATTGAGACACAACATGTCTCTTATCCCCCAACTTCTAACAAATAATATATTTTTAGGGATAACCATGTCTCTTAACCAGTTAATATCACCTATAATTTTATATGTTTAATTAAAAAGTATAAAAGTTAGTGAATCTTACTTTTTGTTTAATGAATTTTATATACAATATGTAATATTTAATAAATTTTAATCATTATTAAAAATAAGTGCATTGTTAGGGGGAAAAATTCCCCAATAGACTATCATCAACTTAAAAGAGATGAGGAATTACATAATCCTCAGACTTGCCAAACCACTGCCTTCTAGAGAGGCAAACTCGTGTTATTTTGTTGTCACTTGAATTGTCAAAGACAGGAATGAGGCTTATGTGTTGGGATAAATTTTTTAAGCCAAATAGAAATTATCCATTAATTAATATTAAAAACTGTTGTGTCAGATTACAGAGTTAACGTTAATAACACGTACATGTATCCATTGACGTTGATAATTAAAAGGTTGCAGCGAAATAGTCTTTTGGTGCAATGATCTTTCTCGGTCAAATCACTGGATTTCTTAACGAGATTTGATGTTACTCTTCTGATGGGGAGACAAAGAGACGTGTGTTTCTAATTTGGCATATTAGGGACCATGACCATCTTTACGATTTTAAACTTATTAGGGTTCCCATTAATCCCTAACAGGTCAAATCTGGTTTCCACTTATTTGGGTCCATAACATTTTTTTCTTGGTGACATCATCACAGTACAAACAACATGAAAAAAAAAAAAAGAAAAAGGAGAAGGGTTAACCCATCACCGTGGTACCTACATTTTTCTAGTATGAGTTGTGAAAGTTGTAGTTGGACAGGTGTGGTGAAAGGGAAAGAGAAGAGAAGGATGAAATAAGAGTGAGATTATGAGTATCTGATTCTGATCTGGCAACAGGCATGGCCACAAGGGAAGCTGCGAAGAAGAAATTCCCTCTCTTCCCTCTCTTCTCTCTCCTCTGCTTCACCTCCATCTTCCTCCTCCTCTCCCAGTACACAACCACGCTCCACACCCACCGCACCTCCCCAGCCCCCGCCACCTGCGACTACTCCCACGGAGCATGGATCCCCCACCCCGCCAGAACCCCCTCCTACCACCACACCTGCAAGGAGATCTTCAAGGGCTGGAACTGCCTCAGCGCCAACAAATCCAACGCCGCAGCCCTCGCCACGTGGCGCTGGCAGCCCCGCCACTGCGATCTCCCCCAATTCGACCCCCTTCACTTCCTCCGCGCTCGCGCCCACTCCACCATTGGTACTCACTCCTCTCCTCCCTTCGCCAAAACGCACCCCTTTTCCTATCCTTATTGATGCAGTGCAGGCTTCGTCGGGGACTCTCTCAACAGGAACATGTTCGTCTCCCTCTTCTGCGCTCTCAAGGCTGCCTCCGATGGACACGTCAAGAAGTGGCGACCCGCTGGCGCTGACCGTGGATTCACCTTCCTCACTTACAATCTCACCATTGCTTACCACCGCACCAATCTTCTCGCTCGTTATGGTAGGTAAGCTTCAATTTCCTATAATGTCATTGTTTACATTGCCTTGTAACTGGACTAGTGGTTGTTTCGGGTAGATGTACGAAAACTTGTGTGTCGTTGTAATGTTTCTTATTAATAAAAAGATAGAACTTAATTGAATGCTTATTGTATGTAAGTGCTTATGTACAAGTTGTTTCTACAATTGAAGAAGAAATGTGGCTAAATTGTCTTCATGTAAGTTGTGAATTGTTTTCGTTAGTTATCCTGGGGAACTTATTGAAATAAGCTGAAAACGAGTTGTGAATGTATCCTAGGTTTAACATTGTAGTCGTGGTTTATTGATGGTTCTTGACATTTGGTGTAAATTGTGGACAAAAATTGGCTTATGTGGTCTCATGGCAGTCGCAAAGACACCAAAACCTTGAAATACTGTCTTTTAAAAACTTGAATGTATCATAAGTTATTCTCATTACTTCTCACAAACATTTACGCTAGTGCTTATGAGATATGCCCAAATAAGCTCTTCGAGAAGCAGCTATATAGTATTGGCTGTTGCTCATCGTTAACTATTATTGTTCTTCTGTTTGATTCAGATGGTCAGCTACTGATGATGGTGGTGCCTTAGAAACTCTTGGATTCAGAGAGGGCTTTAGAGTTGATGTTGATGTTCCAGAAAGCACATGGGCGCAAGCCCTGAGTTTCCATGATATTCTAATTTTTAACACAGGGCACTGGTAATACTATATTCTGTGTATGGATCATGCATTCTAGCTGCTTTTCCTTTTAGTTATTGATGTTGAAAATTACAGATATTTGAATAATAAGTTGGATTAAAGTACCTTTGTTTCCTAGGATTTTGTTTCACTGGAATGTCTCCTTGTGTGCATTTACTTGAGTGTTTAATTTTCTCAAAGGGTTGCCTGACTTAAGTTGTATTTGTTTTAGTGTCACGATCTGGTTTCTTTAGTGCCCATGACTTCTATGTTTTGTTTTAAGCAATGCATATAATGCCTTTAATTTATCTCTTTGCTTGTTGTTTTCCTGCGTTTGAGTTGAGCTGATGCCTGAGTTGTTGCTGGCAATTCGAGAACTCAAGAGAACCTTGTTAGTTTTATCATCTGGTTTAACCATGCATATAAATATATCTTTTACTGTTTGCTCCTCATTTTGCTTTGTATAAGCTGATGTTGTAGCTGTTCTTTGAAAAACTTTGAGAAAGTATATGAGAGGATTGTAATTTAGTTTATCTGATTGTTTCTGATTTGTATTAACAGGTGGTGGGCACCTTCAAAATTTGACCCCACGAAGTCTCCTATGCTTTTCTTCAAGAAGGGTCAGCCAGTAATCCCTCCATTACGTCCAGATCAAGGCCTGGATATGGTTTTGAAGCATATGGTAATGCCTATCACTTTCTATTCCTCTAAAATGACAGTGGTAGGAAATAGGAACTTATGTAATCTATGTCTCTAAGTTAACTCGAGAGTAGAAACAATTACCATGTACACGGTATTGTGTTAATTGGCTTTTGCTTATGCTGAATTCTTTACATTTAGTCCCATATTCTTGTTCCCAGCAATGTATGGGAAAAAAATGCATATACGTCAAGGTCTAAGTTTGTATTAGATAAGATGCTTATGATGTTCAGGGGTTGAGTTGTCAACAATTGGTGAGTGAGGAAGGTGCTTTCCTTGTTGAAGGACAAAACGCTTATTGGGGTCTTACTGATTTTATATAAAAAATAAAACTATTGTCGCTATAGATTCTATACTGTGAATTAGGACATAGATGCTAATGATCTAGAATGTTAACTTCATTAGCTTCCATCTGATCTTATTACAATTGCCTTTAGCACAAAATATCATGTTGATATTTGACTAAAGTATAACCTTAACTTAAAAAAAAATCTATAGATGAAAATTGTATGGGGGTTTCTGTAGGTCCCTAGTATGACACAGATGACCTCTTTATTGAAAAGTGAAAACACATTTATCAATAACCTCGTTATATGATTCAGATGGAGACTAGTACTAAGACTATAGATTGGTCAACATGCTCCTTCCCTTTCAATTCACATGTCAGTAGGGAATTATCCCAACTATTATCATTAAGATGAAGCATTCTGCAATACGCAATGAAAATTCAAGTCAAGCAATTTTTTCACTGGAAACATGTATTTGGGAAATGGGAATTATGCCTAACAACTAGCAAGTATATAGAATATGTTTTTCCTTTTCCTGAAGACATTGAACAAAATGTGTTTGAATTAACTTGAGGTCAAAAAGGTTTTTCCTCTTTCTGCATCAAGAGTTTTTGAGAAAAGAAATTCCCCTAAAAACATGTTCCTGAAAATCTCAGCAGTTATTTCTCCCCCAAACTGATCACTATTAAGATGCTTCTAAAAGTTTAATTTACTTTATTTCTCTGATCCCTGTAATACTTTTAGAAATGCAACTATGAAATTACATCCAGTTTTAATAGGTAAGTGATGGGTCTGCATATTTTAATATGATAGAGTGGCTTGTTCACAGATCCCGTATGTGGAGGAAAACGCACGACCAGGTGCAGTCAAATTTTTCCGTACTCAATCACCCAGACATTTTGAGGGTGGCGACTGGGATCAGGGTGGTTCCTGTCAAAGGGATCGACCTTTAGCGGTAGAACAGGTGGGTCCATTTTGTTAATTATTTTTGTTAGCGTTGTCTTGACTAGAACCGTTGTCACTTGTATTCTTCTTGAAATGCTAAATTATTAGTTAGGTGACCTTGGAAGTTTTGTTGCCCCTTCAGGTTGAGGAACTTTTCTCTGTGAAAAATAACGGGACAAATGTGGAGGCCCGACTTGTGAATGAACACCTCTATAAGGCTCTAAAGGGGTCTAGTTTCATTATTTTGGACATCACTCACTTGAGTGAGTTCAGGGCTGATGCCCACCCTGCTTCAGCTGGAGGGAAAAAACACGATGATTGCATGCACTGGTGCTTACCTGGAATTACAGATACCTGGAATGACTTGTTCATAGAGCTTCTGAATAGAAAGATCAAGGGTAGAAGTTGATGAAGTAGTTATTTATAATTGTTAGAAAAGGGGGAGAAAAGAAAAAAAGAGAGAAAGAAAGACACTGTCCTTAGGATTGTCTTGAACTTCGTTTTGGGTTAGTTGGGATTCTTAATGTGTTTGGATTCATTTTAGATGATCCAAAATCAAGTTGAAACACGAGTTAACATGATTTTAGGTAAATGTTTACATGTTTGGTTTCACATTGATTAATGAAATTTAGGTTCGAAATTGAATTTGAATTGATGCAACCTTGGGTAATTTTTTCTTTTAAAAAAAACCAAGTTTTAACTTGTTCTTGGAACAAAAACATACAAACATAAATCACACTTCAAAATTATTAATTTTAACAAAAAGTTTTCAAAATTAATTTTATTTAAAATCAATATTACAAACACTGGTCTAATCACTATTATTTTATTTTGAGGATCAATGAAATGAATCCACTATAGCTATGTTTGAATTAGCATTTGAATTTCGTTAGATGGCGCTAAATACTTTTGGTTTATATGTTTTATTTTCAACGTGCTTTTAAAAGGGTACATTGTTTGGGGGACTATAAGCAATTAAGAGATGGGAATTCTATTATAGGAAGGAAATTTACGATCAGAATCACATTCCTGAGTATATTAAAAAAAAGTGTTTGGTTAGTAATGGAAATGCTTTTATGAAAAGAAAGTTAAATGAATAAAAATGAAATTTTAATTGACATTTAAAGAGAATCAACTTACCCATTTTCTCTCCTGAGAATCTATTGTAATATAGAAGCGTTTCATAGATGCAAATAAAATTTGCAATCTTTTAATAAACATGGAAAAACACTTTTTTTTATTTTATTTATTATCATGTATTCTCTAAAATATCATAAAATATCTTGAAACAACTGTCTCCTTATACCTTTCTGACAAAACAACGTGCAACTAAGTCGGTCAAAATTATTTGGAATGCTCTTTATCTTATTTTTAGTCCTCTTTAATAATTTACCTATGAATCTTCATTTTCAATTGTATCTTTCAGGTAGTATTTTTTTTCTTCTCAAAAAGAATGGGTGACATCAAAACCCAATTCTAACCGCTTAGTAATTTCTTATTTTCTTTCCTTGTTGAGAGTGAAGCACCACTGTACAGTGTTTGGTGGACGTGATTAAGAAATTTGACAAAAATTGAGTAAAATGGTATTTTCAAAATAATTTTCTTTTAAGCATTAGGAGATCTCAACGAAACAGCCCAGTTATCTTATTGGTAGAAAATAGTAAAGAAAAGCAGATAGTAAAAATGAGGGACGTTTGTTCAAGATTTGCAAGCAATTTAGAAGAAACAACTATTTAAAGAGAGGTTATGCTAATTGGTCAATCCACTCGAAGTGTCCAGCCCTTTTTGTCTTCAACACACCCAGTTTGAATTCCAACCAGTGTTTTGCGCAGTTTTTCAGACAATGTTTCTGCTCCTGTTTTATATTCAGCTCTGCATTGTTAAATTTATTGTCAATTTATTAGTATAACAATCAACAGTTGCAGGGAATTTTCAAAGATACGGTCTTTAATCGAATATTTATCACCCTTAGTATAGTGAATCAAATTAAAAAAAAAACACAATTAGTAAAGTTAAAATTAAAATTTAGTTAACAATTATACACAAACTTTATGTAGAGTGAAGATTAACAATTAATACCAAAACTGTTTACCTTGTTTCCTTGTAGGTTACAGATGAAACAGAGTTGACAACAACCGCAGTTCCTGTGCAAAACACTTCATCAGCTACTAGTATTTCCTCCACCGATATGGTACGTTCCATGACCTGAAACATAATTCAAGTAATCATATCCTTAGTAGTATACAAATATTGAGAAATCATTAATAGGAAGCATTAGCTAGGCTACTAGATTCTCCTCTGAAAAGTTATTTTTAGTGGGGTTATTTATTTTACTCAAATTTTTCTTCTCTGGTTTATCTGTTCCTGTAATTTTACAACACCATTTACTAAATTACTTCATATATTTTAATATGTAAAATGTAATGGATTCAACAAGGTTAACCCTTTCACCAAACAAATGGAGAGAAAAACAGTAAAATTAATAAAGATTTGATTATGAAATCAGGAGGGTGACCGCTGTTGAATACCAAATTTATAGAAAACAAAGCCATAACGATTAACTATTTTACATTTCAAAGCTTATGGAAAACTAATACCTCATAACCCAAATCCAAGGCAATGTCAATGATGGATTTTCGTGTGATCCCAGGCAGGATGGCTCCATTTGTTTCCGGAGTGCTGATAACATTATCCTTCACAAGATAATAAAAAAGAAAATATATAATACAAATAAAAAACCAAAACAAGCTTTTGTTCAGACATTTTAAAAAATATTAACTGTGTTCTATTAATGTGCCAGGTTAAGGAAAAATATTTATTATTTTTTATTACTTGAAGGAAAATATTAAGTGCTAGTATTATTTTATTAATTTTTTTATTATTCATTCTTTAACATGTGCTATGATAATAAAGGCTTTCAAAAGGAAAATTAAATTGGTTAGTAGTAACAATCTATCCATGAATATGAGAGTAAGGTTGGTGGTGTACCTTCACAACAAACACATTGCAGGAAGAAACCTCCTCTATATTTTTTCCAGTTGCTGAGTCCAAAAACAAAACATCAGAGAATCCATTGGCTTTTGCTTCCGTGATTGCAGTATAAACCTACAGTGCAAGTATACGAGGCTAACATAGTCAAAATGAAGAGTGAAATTCATTTAGGGTAGCTTATAATATGCACTTTAAATTGTCTAACTACTAATGCAGCATATATAAGCAAAATCAAGGTAAATTTACCAAAAAAAGTAACTATCTGTTGCTTACAAATTTTATGGCGCGAGTTTTAACTTAACATGGATTCAGACACACTAACTATTGAATAAACCTTACGTAATGATGAGATTCTAGAGTGCAAACTTTGGTCTGACTCTGATACAAAATTTTATGCGTCAACAGATTTCTTCTACGTTCAGTTCAAGTACTCCAATTCCTCAACAAAGTAAAACAAAAATCCAAAATTGGAGAAAAGTGTTGTATTGGTATTGCTATGCTTACAGGGGCATAGTTGGTAACACTTTTGATCCCTCCTGTCCCACCACTGCCGGTTATTGCTCGATGGAACTTACTCTCGACTTTTAAGTTTAGTGAACTCTGTCATAAAACTGAAATTAGTCTCCACAAGAAATTTCATTAAATATTTTTTTACAAATCAAGTGGAAGTCCATATATAACTGACCTTGTGGTAGCTAGTGACAGGAGTACAATAAATAAGAAATGTGTACTCAGGTGCTGGAGTCAAGCTTAAGGAAGCTCCGGTTCCTATGAGTAATGGCCTAATATATAGTGTCCCTTTCTCTAGTGGAGGCACCTGTTTCATATGTGAAGATCAATTCAATTTGTTTTTCACTTCTTAGAGGGAAAATAATAATAACAAGGTTTTAAATTGTAGTAACCGTTTCTTGGGTTCTCTTGATATTGGAACAAATTGTGGATAAATGTGACCAAAATTACATGATTATAAGTACTGTTGATATTATTTTTCAATCAAAATTATAATTTCATTTTAATAATTTAGATTTATATTTAATATAAATTTTGCTAAAATATATTTATGAATATTATCGAGTTAAAACTTTAATTCTCATTGAAAAATTACAACAATAGTCTGTATGGTACTTTATTTAAGTTTTGTTTTTTTAAACCTTGGATCAGAAAGATGAATAGGAGGAAGAAATAAGTACCCAACGTTTGTTGGCAAGAACTGTCTGTTTTACTGCAGTAACAAACTGGTCAATGGATGGCGATGGCATGCACAATCTGTCTGCTCCTATCTTCATGCGTTGAGCATTCTCTTCTGGTCGAAATAGAAGTATACGTCCATCTTCAGTTCTATATGCCTTTAGCCCCTCAAAGATTCCCTGAAGATAATAATTACCATATTGATTTGTGAGGTTTGAGCTAGAATTTCATTTGTGAGTTAGCTGTGAAATCATGTTTTGTGCAAACATAGTATCATTGATAAAAAACTGATGAAACACAACTAGGTACAATGTTTCTTTAACCTGTCCATAATTTAGTATCACGGCAAAAGGGCTGATCTCAATGTTTCCATAGGGAACGAGGGATCCTTGTGAAAATTTATCTCCTTTTGCACATTTCATGACATACATGAAATCTGTCGGAACTGGACTAAATCCGAGCTCATGTTCATCCCAGTTTATGTCAGCGCAGTTTCCAACAGCAACTACATTACTATCATAAAAAACAAAAAATAATACCATGTTTATGCATAAAGTAATTCGTCTTGGACTTAAAGTTTTGAATAGAATGGAAACTTTTTTTTTTTCCCGTCATATTGTACCTTTTTAAATTGTCTTCAACGTTCTCTAAAGCAGAAGTGAGAGTCATAGTTGTGAAACCGGGGTCCTCCTACAAAGCATGGTACAAGCAATGAGGTATATATGTCTAGCTCACAACCGATGATAAGAAAACAGTTGAATGACTCTTCAATTTTTGAGACATCGCCTTTGGTCTATGACTCTTGCAATATATCAGAATGGAACAATATATTATCTTCTGTAATTTCAAGAGTTTTGAAATGTTTGTATACAAATTATAAAATATAAAACATATTTGGACTAGGGGCTTAGAGCACTAAAATTTGGACGTGCACATGTTATAAAAGAATAAAATCATGGTAATTAGTAACAAATATCTAGCCACATACTATAAATATAAAAACATATTTTAAACAAGACACGGTTCCCAACCCTCTATATCAGTTGATATATCCTAACATTTTCATGTATAACATGACATCCACGTATTAGGATGGTAGGGTTATACAAAAGTTTTAAATTCTAATCTTGTTAAAGTTGTTGTACATGTACACCCAAAAATGTATACCATGGCACGACACGCCCCTTTTCTTCCACCCTCTCGCAACCAATAATTTTTTGGGATACTGAGTTATCCTCGTCCACAAAATATTATTTTTATCGATTAGAACCTATAAATTATCTTTTTGGTCTGTGAAAATTGAGTCATCTCAAGGCTATGCCACAAATTTTAAGAAAGACTTTACACCTTCCAATCACGAATGAAAACACCGATCGGTTTCAGCAATATGCATGGATAGCAATAAAATGTGTGAGAGAGCGAGAGATGGAAACATTTGTTACCTTTGTGCAGAAACAGCTGCTAACTTGTTAGGCTCCTTATTTGGGATATAAAAGAGATGAAAAGTAGATGTGAAGGTTGTTGAACATAGGAATGAATGAGAGAATGGTTCTGCAGAAATGGTCACTGATCTTATAGTGTGAGATTTATAATTTTAAATAATATATAATAAGACTTATTCAATAATTAACTATACATTTCATTATATTCCACTCTATTTCCTATTTATTTCTTATTAAATTAATTTTTACATTATCCCTTTTCTTTCTTCCACTTCTTCCTCCTCTACCAAACAGAGGTGATTAAGGGTGTGTTAACAAAAGATGAAAGATTGATAAAAAAATAGAGTGAAAAAAATAAAATAGAGTGAAATAGATTAATATTAATAAGTAAAAAAAGTGAAAAATTAGTTGTTTATTTTGATAGAAATAATGTAGAAATAAATAGAAAATAAAAATAATTTTTTTGTACAATTCTTTAGTATATATAGTAGAAATCGTTATTGTGCAAATATGTTTCTATTCCGGCTACAGGGTGCACTAGGATTTTTTTCTAGGTCAAGCCTCAAAGCCAGAGTATTCAAAAGTGTAATCTGCCTCCTCAACTCTAGGGTTTTGGGTTTTATGGTACGTCGTTCATGGGCCTCGAGAATGAAGGGATTTCCCTAACCGTTCTTATCACGAGGGTGCGGGGTTAGTGAGTGGGGATGAGTTTAGTCGGGTTCCGACCGACTAGGTCCATACTGAGGGTCCAGTCGGGTAAATGCCGAGTAGTCCCCTTATATGCGAGAGGAATCTAGCTAGCAGGTCGAGTCGGATTATGACCAACTAGGTCTGTGCTGAGCCTTGAGTCGGGTTAATGCTGAGTAGAAGATCATGCTCGCCCTATTGCCGATAAAGAGATTAGGTCGGATTACGACCTGGACGGCACACTTGCCTTCCAGGCCTGAGCCTATAAGGCGAGAGGGCTTAAGGCCTGGCGACCTAGTCGGGTATTGGTCGAGTAGAGGGTTGTGATCGCCCTATTGCCGATAAAGAGATCAGGTCGGATTACGACCTGGACGGCACACTTGCCTTCCAGGCCTGAGCCTATAAGGCGAGAGGGCTTAAGGCCTGGCGACCTAGTCGGGTATTGGTCGAGTAGAGGGTTGTGATCGCCCTATTGCCGATAAAGAAATCAGGTCGAATTACGACCTGGGCGGTACAGTTTCAATACATTATAGTTTTTTTTTAAAAATAATCAATTGGCACTTTTGATAGTTTTTAAACCATTGATGTGTTTAAAAAAATTAAAAAAATTAATTCGTCAAAACCGAAAAAACAAAATTCAATTAAATTTTATGGCAGTTTTAAATACCAGGAAAAAATAAATCTTAGGGTCAGCTATCCCACCCTTTGAGGTGCCTCCAACGTAGCGAGAAGATTAGTCATTACTGTCGGCGGTGGATACTCCATGGACGAACAAAAAAAAAAAAACACCAGGAAAAAAGCTACCACAAAATGTGCTAACAACAACTTCTCCACACATGACACACCTCTACTCAGCCAAACCACTCTTACTTTTTATTTATCACCCATTTTCACCCTTTTACTCCATTTCTTCGGCATCTCTCACGTAGCAAATAGGGGGTAAATGCGTGTCAAATTGACTCTTAAATAGTGCATAGTTGTTACCGGTAGAAGTGTTCATATTGCAATTTAGTTTGTGAACCATTCAAGCCTTTGACCTATTCTAGTCGACTGGGAATCGACAACCAAACCCTTGATGTCACTGTTAGAACAAGTCTTGGTTGGTGGTTGATTGCTTCCCATAACAGATGAGATAACGTGATTTGTTTAGGATTTAACATCTTTCGCGAACCTTTGGTAAACTTTTTTAGGTAGATTGAAAATTTTCTCAATGATACCTTTTCAAAATTAACACCAGCGTTTTGTTACAAAACTTGACTTGGTAGATGAAAATTTGAATTTTTAGCTCATTAGGAGGAAAGAAAGAGAAGAATTTTGATTGTGGAGACAAAAGTGCAAACACGAACAATCACAAGACAAAATGTATGTTGGAAGATATAACATCCACACCATTGTTTTTCTGCACATCATTTAAAAATTTTGTAATATTTATTGTGTTATAAACTCATCAAATTTATGTTTTCTCTCATGCAATTGCTTGAACATATCATCAAACTCTGAAAATATTGGCATCAGCAGCAATCCCAATAGGTCAAAAGCCAGCTACTTCAAGCAAACAGGTGACTAAAAAAAACAAAAAACAGTCGAATCCATTGGCTCCAAGATTGTTGAATACTTGAATTTGTCAAACAAGTTCCTCTTTTTTAAAATTATCCATCTTAAAAAATAAATATGAGAAACATAACATGAAACTAAAGAATTAATTATATATTTGTTGTAACTATCCACCTAATCATAGTCTTTTTTTCATTAGTTTTTTTTTCTTAAAAGAAAATATAAATACACACAACACATACCGATCAAGCCTGAAATCAATGCACGCGTTTTCACAACATAAATAATTTGAAATATTAAAATCACAAGAGAATGTTCATATGTTTTCTAATTATTAAGGATGATGATAAATCATCAACTTCTCTTCAAAATTTTCATTTTGGCAAAGACAATGAAATATTTATATATCTGAAAAACTGTTTAATATATATATGATCTTTATATATATATATATATATA